CTTTGCCTGGGATTCCCACCCCAGTAGAATGGAGGCCCAGCGAGCCCAGGCTGGCTGCGGTGTTCCATGCTGCCGTCTCTGGTGGGTGCAACGGCGTGCGGCTGCCCTCCCCCACATCCCATGTGCTGAACGGACTGGGTGGACTTGCCTGCTGGTCAGGTGTGAGTGGCGAACGTCCCAGACACGGCTCTTGGCGAGCATTCCACAGTGTCGTCTGCTTGTCGTGTCGTCTGCTTGTTGTGTCTTGGTGTTGGCTTTTTACAGTCTAGTTCTGTTGTTCAGAAGACTGCGGTATCAGCCCTCAGGCCTTGGGGTATGGCCCCGATGACGCGGGCCTGAGTGCCGCACCTGGAAGATCCTGGAGCGGGTGTGCCTCTGCCGCCCATGCCGTCCCTCAGCCGGGAGCATGTGTTGCTCTGGTTCACTTCTCCCATCTCCCTTCGTGAGGGGAGGTTTGCTTTACAACCTGGCAGATGAGCTTTTCCAGCCTGGGCTCAGCCCCACGCCCCTGTGGCTGTGTCTTCCCTCTGCAGCGCCGTGGAACACACGCTTCATGCTACATCCTGTAGCCGCTGCATTTCCTCAGACCGGGTCCATGAGGAAGCCCAGGTTCAGCTGCCCGATGCTTGACAGGCAGACACGAGAGGCGAGAGTGGAGGAAGAGCGGGTGTATTCAGAGAGCCGGCAGATCGGGGAGGTGGTCACCTACGGTCACAAAGACCCTCTGAAGTCAGTACCGATCTCAGGCTCTTCTTATGCTAAGGGTAGGGGCGGGAGGTGGGGGTGGGACCAAGAGGTGACTGACGACCCCTGAGATCTGGGAGCCAGCAAGGGTCTGAGGAGGTCGGGAACGTCTCTGTCCTTGGCCAGGCCACAGCACTCCTGCAGATCTTTAACAACGCCTGTAGCTGTTTCCACCTTCCCCTTCCATCCCAGAGTTAGTGTTCGCATTATTCCCTCAGTACTCTAAAACTAGGAGTGGGTAAAGACCCTTTAAGCAGAGAGGAGGACTGTGCTAGTTCTGCAGAGCCGCTGTTCCAGGACGAGGGCCGGGCTTGGGGCACCCCGGTGCCGGCCGCGCTGCCTCGCGGAGGTGGCCCCCGTGCCAGCCATCCTGCCTCGCGGAGGTGGCCTAGGCTGCGGAGAGTGGGTCAGAAGCAGCTCAGGCCACATCTAGTTCCTGAGGCCCAGTCTTGGCACCTGACTCTATTGCACTGAGCCCTGGTCCCTAAGCGCCGGGAGCCTGAGCTCTGAAGCAGGACAACCACTGTCCCGTGGGTGTGCGTTACTCTCATCTGCTCTTGGTGGGGGGACTCCAGCCCCACATGCGCCCCACACAGATGTGAGCGCACCCTCACTCAGGACTCGCATCTGCTTTCAGTGGGGGGACTCCAGCCCCGCATGCGCCCCACACAGATGTGAGCGCACCCTCACTCAGGATGCAGGGTGTGGGTTTGTCGGGTCCCCCTCAAGGCTGCCCAGCCATCCTGTGCTGAGCTGAGGGCGCCTGTCACCTGAAAGACAGCACCTGTCACATTCTTGCCTTTGCACACCCTGGCTTTAAAGCAGAGCACAGGGAACGGTGGCATTCTTCGAGTTAAATGATCACACGGAGCCGTGATTTAAAGCACTTGTGAACTTTTGCACCTGAATTCAGTGATTCAAGAGTAGATTTTACAGCCCTTGACTATTAAATTGGCCCATGAATAGTTTAAAATTGAACTGGAGCCCAAAGTAGCCTTATAATATGTGTTTCCCTGAGCTTTGTGCCTGTTTTTTATTTTATCGTGCGTATTTGCTTATGCAGCACCTGGAGGGGGCGGGGGTCCGCCGACCAGTGCTGCACCTGGGGCCAGTGTCAGCACAGGGCTTTCCCAGGCGGCTGATGGGATGGGAAAGACTCAGAACGGTTTCCTCTGCTCTCGCATCGCAGCAGTCCACACGGAAGACTGACCAGATGTGGGTGTTTCCCCACCCACCAAGCAAGCAGTCGGTTCTGCCTGGGACACCAGCCGTTCAGTTCAGCCTCACTCAGTTCTGTTCTGACACTGTCTGCCTGGAGGTGGCGTCAGACCCTGGGGTGAGGGCCCAGTCCCCACCTTCTGGTGCCAGTCGTGAGCCGCCGCTGTGCTTCTGACCGGCCAGATGTAAACTGGGGTTCCGACCATCCGGTTGGGATTCCCCTTGGGTTTGATTAATTTGCTGGAGTGTCTCGTAGAACTCAAGGAAATGGACGTTTACCAGTTTATTATAAAGGTTACTGCGAAGGACGCAGATGAACGGATGCGCAGGGCGAGGTGTGGGGGAAGGGCCTGCAGCTTCCATGCCCTCCCTGGACCGCCACCCTCTGGGAACACCGGAAGCCTCCCAGCTCAGTCCTTTTGGGTTTTGATAGAGGCCACCACCCTCCAGGAACACTGGAAGCTCTCCCAGCTCCGGCGAGAGGCCTTTGGGTTTTGATGGAGGCCTCGTCAGGTGGATGTCATTAACTCTGCCCCTGCTCATTGGTGAGCCACTCAGCCTTCAGCCCCTCTCCTTCCCCGAGCTTAGGGGTGGGACTGAAGTCCCGAGCCTCTAGTCCGGCCTTGGTCTTCCTGGTGACCCGCCCCGTCCTGCAGCTGCCTGGGGGCTGCAGCCACCGTCAGTCATTGGCACATGGAAGGCCTCATCGTGAGAGCCCGAGAGTTTTAGGAGTTGTGTTCTGGGAGATGGGTTGACGATCAGATACGTATTTCACAAGATCACACGAGGCTGAAATGAAACGCCCGTGTCCTGGACGCCAGTGCATTGGCCCCAGTCTGTGGGCTTGTGCAGCTTCTGCTGGGGCTGGCCGAGGGTGGCCAGGCTGGGGTTCCCGCCATGCTTGGCTGGGTTAGGACCGCCACCAAGTCCCTTCTGACGTTCTGTGAGTGTTGGATTCGCATTCACTTTCAACTTACCCTTTATTTAAAGACTTCTACTGAATTACAGTTAAAGACCCCGTATTCACTTCACTCAAACATGTGCGGAGACCACCGCACAAGAAAACGCCATCCGCCAGCCCCGGGATGAAGCTTTCCCCAAACCACCGCCCAAGAAAGAGCCATCTGTGGCCGGGCGCGGTGGCTCACGCCTGTAATCCCAGCACTTTGGGAGGCCGAGGCGGGCGGATCATAAGGTCAGGAGATCGAGACCACGGTGAAACCCCGTCTCTACTAAAAATACAAAGAATTAGCCGGGCGCGGTTGTGGGCGCCTGTAGTCCCAGCTACTCGGGAGGCTGAGGCAGGAAAATGGCGTGAACCCGGGAGGCGGAGCTTGCAGTGAGCCGAGATCGCGCCACTGCACTCCAGCCTGGGCGACAGAGCGAGACTCCGTCTCAAAAAAAAAAAAAAAAAGTTTTTTTTTTTTGTATTTCTAGTAGAGACGGGGTTTCACCATGTTAGCCAGGATGGTCTTGATCTCCTGACCTCGTGATCTGCCCGCCTCAGCCTCCCAAAGTGCTGGGATTACAGGCGTGAGCCACTGCACCCGGCCACAGATGGCTCTTTCTTGGGCGGTGTTCTGGGGAAAAGCTTCATCCTGGGGCTGGCGGATGGTGCTTTCTTGGGTAGTGGTCGCCTCACAGGACTGTGGTCCCCGTTAGCTTTTCTCCATCCCAGTGCTGTGTTTTATTTCCTCGAGATTTAGTTAAGATTTCCTTTGGAAAGCAGTTTGTGATGCTCAGTACAGTTGTGTGCAGCTCCTGTGTTCCAGCGCCCGTTCCACTCCGCACCTGCCCTGGGCTGTCTGAGGGGGGCTGGGCCCTCCCTCCGCTGACTCGCCCCCTCCCCAGGGCGGCCTCTCTTCTTCCTGGCTGTGTCCCTTCCTGGGAGCGTCCTCGTGCCTCGCTGTGGAGTCCTGACTTGTCTCCTCTTGGGCAGCCTCTCATCTCTCCTGGCTGCGTGCCTTCCTGGGAGTACCCACGTGCCCGGTTGTCCCATGCGGAGGTGGAGTCCTGACTCACCCTCTCTCCAGGGCAGTCTCTCCTCTGTGCGCCTCGCTGCGCCCTTCCTGGGAGCCCCCTCGGGTGGGGAGGTGGAGTCCTGGGGCTCCCGGAATCACAGAAAGTCATTGCATCATAGGTGGGTTCTTGCAGTCAGGGTCAGTGGACGCTGTCATTTGTCTGGCTCCCAAGTCAGCTTCTGAAGGACAGAGAGGGGGGGCAAGATCCAAACCCCTGAGGCCTGTTACTACCAGGCTGTGAACTCGGAGACTCACCAGGAGTGGTTGGGAGCCACCAAAGGCTTCAAAATCGCGTGACACAGCCCCTCTCTGCTGTCTGAGGAGACAGCTTGGTGCCCAGTGGTCGAGGGGTCTAGTGAGAGCCGTTGGGAGGCTATTGTGGTAACGCAGGTGACAGGCAACCAGCACAGGGACTGAGGCAGCGGGGAACGTACAGGGAAAGGAGGATTCAAAAGCAGAAATCAAAGGAGCTATTAGCCACCTGAAGGGGCGGACAGGGGGAAGCCTCTTGGGCAGCCTGGAGTTGGCCCTGCCCGTGCCGTCGGCCCGCAGGAGGCCTCCCGGTTCCCAGTGCTCAGCGCCAGGCTGGGCTTTCAGCCTCGCAGAATGTTTTTAGAACAGGCCCCCACCAGCAGGCGCCCGGCGTTTGCTTCCCCGCACCACATTGCACATCTGCGGTGATTCAGAGGGGAAGCGCTGGCTCTGCAATCTCGCTCATTCAGAAGTCCCGTCTCCCAAAGGGCTGCGTCGCCGACAATTTTTCCCATTGTGTGTGGAGTTGAGCTCCCCTCCCCCTCCCTGCCGTGTTCTGGGATCACCCTGGGAGTCTATTTGAAATCCAGAAACTCCTGAAAGGCCTTAAGTAGCTATTCAGCAGTGCGGAAATGGCAGTGAGGGGGCTGCACGTGCAGCTCTATTTTAGGGTGTCCTGGTGGGCTCGTTCCTGGGGTGGGGCGGGTCGCGGTGGGATGGTCACCCCAGGCTTCAGTGCTTTGCCCTCTTGTCTCTCCTGTGCAGCGCCCGGGGGCTGGAGAAGGCCAGGCAGCAGCTGCAGGAGGAGCTCCGGCAGGTCAGCGGCCAGCTGCTGGAGGAGAGGAAGAAGCGCGAGACACACGAGGCGCTGGCCCGGAGGCTCCAGAAACGCGTCCTGCTGCTCACCAAGGTGATTTGTGCCCTCATATTTTGATCAGAGTTGCAGGGAGCTGCGGGAGAGCGCACACCTGGTCAGCGAGATCTCATTGCGGAGGCAGGAGTGCTGCAGCGGGGTCAGTGCAGCTGGGTCACAGTTAGCACTTTGGCCCTGGGTTGCCAGGAGGGTTCTGGGAGTGCCAGAGTGCTCAGCCCCGGTGCTTCCTGTGGGACTCTCTGGGCCTGCTGTGTGCTCCACCCTTTTCAGTTCCCCCAGCATCTCAGTGTCCCCCCCCAGCCTTGTGCTGAGCCCTGGAGAGCGTTCCTTGTCGCTGCGGACCCTCTGCAGGCGCCTGTGTCCCTTGCAGTCTGCACCCTCATGCTTTGCCGTCCAGTGATGCCGGTTTCGCTGTGTGGATCTTGGCCTGGGCTCGGGATGAAGGCTGTCACCTGCTTCCAGGTGTGCCCCAGCCCCACCTGTGGGCGGCTCCATGGCCCGACTCTAATCGTCAGTGCCTGCGGGGGTTCTGATGTCTGACACCGTGAGCAGAGGTCACTGGAGTGTGAAAGACAGTTTTTGTGAGTGTTGTTTAAAATGTTCCTCGAGCACTGAAATTTCAGAAGACAAGGCAGGAGAGAAGTAAATCTGTCCCCAGATGCTCTCTGGGCCAGGGCGGGTGTCCAGCTTGCTGGGCGGAGGCTCCCCCTGTCCGCCTCCAGCCAGTGCTGAGTGGGCGGAGGGCTGTGTCACCCTGGCCTGGGATGGATGCTGCACCTGTCAAGTGCTGGGAGTTGTGCCTTATGAATGTTTGCCTGTTCTTGATTGTTTTTGATGAAAACCGAGGCTCTTTGCTGCTGGGACCTCTTGGTTGTGGAGCTTTAAGAAAATTAGTAACGTTTCTGCTCCGAAGCTGCTGTTTTATGGCTTCTCCAGCTCGCTCCTGGGCGGCTCCATGCTGTCTCCTGAAGGAAAAGTTCACATGGGCCTGGGTCCGGAACACAGGCTGAGCTGGCCCCTGTGCACAGCCCAGAGGCTGGCCCCAAAGCCCTGGCTTTGCAGGTGCACCCCAGACAGGGGACACTCGAAAATGTTCTCACATGACTTTTCAGCCGGAGCTGTCTGCCGCCTCTGGCAGAGGGGACACCCAGCCCTGTTGCATGGTCAGGCACAGTGCATTTCTGTGGAGCAGCTCTAGGACCTTCCTCCGTGCTCCCTTCTCTTCCGACACCATGTCTGCTAGTGTGTCAGCTTCTAAGCAAGATATGTGAGGTGCATGCGGCACAGACGTGTGGGCACAACCCTTGGGTAATCACTCTCTAGCGGGGTCAGGCAGTAGCACCAAACCAGCACCTGCCACCCACCTCCACAGAGGTGGACGGCGTGGCGATGCCGCAGAAGGGCTTTTCTTAGGAGGTGGCGTTCATGTGGGGACCCAAGGATTTCCCCTTTGTGAAAGTGTGTGTGGAGAACCATGGCGGAGGGAGAGAAGGCGGCTTGTCACAAAGCGCTGCTGAAGTCACCCTCGAGGCCTGGAGCCAGAGGAGACAGCGGCTTGGGCCCAGCAGGCCACAGCGTGTGCGCTGACCACTGCGGGGGGTTCAGGCAAGTGCAGCCCGACCCTGCCGGTGAGGAGAGGCCCTGGGAAGCAGAGGGGGCGAGGCCGTGTTCTGTCGGGGTGGCGGGACACCTGGGCTTGGTGATCTTTGAGTGTGCGATGACCTGCTGTGGTCCCGTGATGTGGGAAGCTCAGAGCTTCCTTGGGGAGGAAGAGTGGGAGGGCTGGGCTGGGAGCTGGGCCTTTCTCTGGGACCTCAGATGTCCCTCATTCTCTCTGGGTCTCAGTTCTCCTTTCTGCTAAACTTTGGGCTCAGGCCCGATGACCCCAGGGTGCCCGGGAACGTGGCTGTGTTCGGGTGGCGCCCCCTCGAGGGCACCTTGTTTTTGGCCCATTCCGATTCTGGGTCGGGGCTGGGGAGTGACGTCAGCTCACGCCGGCCAGGCGGGCAGCACTTTGGGGTGGTCCTGCGTGCGTGGCGTGGGTGAGTTACAGGTGTGGCCCCCACATGAGGGCAGCCCCGCCTGGCCTCAGCTGCGGCTCGTCCTGTGGGAACCTTCTGGTTTCTTAAGTCAGCAGTTGGAAGCTGATGGGAAGAGGTCCCTTTACAGGTCACATGTGGGCCTGAGTGTTCTTGTGTGCTCGGTCTGGCCTGCAGCCTGACGTTTTGTGGCCCACAGGACACTGGTGCTGCTGCCCATATCCCCTCTTAGTGCCAGGGCTCCCGGCCGTGATGAGGAGTTGCACGCAATCACTGGATGTCTGGTGTGGTTTTCACCCTTCTGGGGCTCCCTCATGGTCCAGTGGAGCCCCACAGCCTCCTGGGAAGTCTGTGCCTGGCTTCCTTCCTGCCGTTCTTCTTTGAGGGTCACCCCGGCCCACCCAGGGCAGGAAGTTTCTGTTCTTCTCTGCTCTGCTTCGCAGGTGGAAAGCCTCTGGCACTTTCTGGCCCACGCCGGCCTACCCCCGACCCTGCTGTGCTCACGGGCCTGCTCTGTGTTAGCAAGAAGGTGGATATTGATCACCGGGCATGGACTGGTTGTTTATCCTGACAAAGGATCGATTCCAGTCGCCCGTGTAGCCCCAGGCCAGGGATGCAGGATCTGTCCAGCCAGCCGTTATGAAGCTGTTCACTCAGCCATCTGGAGGGAGCGGTGTGCCTGCTGCTCTGGGTCTGTGCACCTTGGTGTTGGCTACTGCCCACCTCAGCTCTGCACGGCAGCCCGCCCGGCTGGCTGGTGGTCAAGGAGCGCCTTCTCTCCAGGCGCACCCAGGAGGGCTGCGAGCCTGCGGCTGGTGGGGGCTCTGGGCCTCTGGTGTCCCGTTGGAGGCCCTCCTTGTGTGCTTGACATTTTAGTACACAGTGCTTGGAGCATGCAGTTTTATTTCAAGACCTTTATTAAGCGGCTCTAGTCTAAGGATTTAATTGTTACTGAGAGCTAAGAGTATAATTACCTTGGTAAAATATCATGACTATTTTAAGCAGTTGAAAATTGGCTTCTGGAACTGGGTGAACACAAACCATTTTCCTGTTTGAAATGAGCTGTTTCTCCAGTGCCCCACGCTTCCACAGTATGGCTGCAGAGCCCTGTTTATGGAATATCAGTAATACAAGTTAACTTTTAGCCAGAAACTTTTAAAATGACAGAAGAGCTTTCCCTTCCCACCTCCCATTTTCTATCCTCCACCCTCCCTCCCTGTTTCAGAGCAGATCATTTACTGGAGGCCACAGGCTGTTGGTGAGCAGTTGACACTGGGTGTCCAGTGGCGTCTGACTGACGTTGTGGCTGCTGAGCGCGGGGTGGTTGTCATGGTGACATCCTGCCCTGGGAACCCGCACAATGGGAAAGACAGATTTGTGTCTTCCGGAGTTGTCGAGGGTTTGAGTTTTGAGCTCTGGGCCGGGGTCTTGGGTCTGCGCTGGCTGAATGAACACGTTCATCGGCCACCTCCTCCGAAGCTGGGGTTGGCGACGTCAGACATTCCCCTCTCCCACGTCCTTCTCGCTGCCCGGAGCATCAGATCTGCTCGCTCCCATAAAGTTCCCTTTGTCAATCAAAAAATCCTCCACAAACATTCCTGATGATCCACGGTCTCAAAACCAACGTGGCTGGGCCTGCTGTGGGATTGGGAGCAGATGAGCTTTAACGAGAGGGCTGGGACCCTGGACACAGCTGCCGCCCTCAGCGATGGGAGAGTGTGGGGAGCTGGTGTCTGTATCTGCTGGGTGCAGTTTAGGCCAGATGCGTCCAGGAGACAGCTGAAGGCAGATCAGGAGACAGCTGAAGGCAGATGGAGACTGGGTCCAGGAGGGCGGGGCTGCTGCTCTTCAAGAAACAATCAAATAGGGGCAGAAGGCAGGAAGTACAGGGGACCCCTCAGAGGACTTCCATGTTCTTCCTGCCTCACATCCAGAAGAGAGTCCTGGGAGAAGCCTCTGTCCTCCTTTGAGAACCCTCTGTCCTCCTGGAAGAAGCCTCTGACCTCCCATGAGCAGCCACCATCCTCCTGGAAGAAGCCACCATCCCCCTGGGAGAAGCCTCTGTCCTCCCATGAGCAGCCACTGTCTTCCCGGGAGAAGCCGCTGTCCTCCTGGGAGAAGTTTCCATCCTGGGAGAAGCCACCATATTCCCAGGAGAAGCTGCCATCCTCTGGGAGAAGCCGCTGTCCTCCTGGGAGAAGTTTCCGTCCTGGGAGAAGCCACCATATTCCCAAGAGAAGCCGCCATCCTCTGGGAGAAGCCGCTGTCCTCCTGGGAGAAGTTTCCTTCCTGGGAGAAGCCACCATATTCCCAGGAGAAGCCTCCATCCTCCCAGGAGAATCTGGCATCCTATGGGAGAAGCTGCTGTCCTCCTGGGAGAAGCCTTTGGCCTCCTGGGAGATGCTGCTCTCTTCCTGCTATGTTCCTGGCCCAGAGGCAGCTCTTGTGAGTCTGAGCCATCCCAGCCTCTTACAGGGGCCAGAGCTACCTCCTAAGGCTCCCTCCCCATGCTGTGGCCCCTTCCGAAGGGAATCGGGGGCAGGGGAGGCAGGCTTAGCTCAGGGACCCCTGCGCATGTTCTCAGTGGACTCTGCCGGGATTTCCTCTCTTCTTGGGGGTCATTTCTGTGCCCAGGATGCTGTGCTGGAGCCTGTTACAGGAGGGGCTCCGGGCCCCGTTCTGGTCCATCCTAGGAGGCAGCGCAGTCCTTGCTGGGACTCTCCCAGGCCTGTGCTTTGAGGAGACCCTTCCATTTCCTCCTGACTGTGTCCCTTCTCCTCTGCAGGATTGTGTGTGCTGAGGGCAGAGCAGAGGGAGGCTGGCTGCCCTGAGGGAGCTGAGGCCACAGGTGCTCAGGGTCAGAGTGGCCTGTGGGTCCTGAAGGAGTATGTCCTGGTGGCCGTGCCCTGGCCACAGCAAAGGTAGGCGTGGTGCACACCGGAAGAGGACAGGGCCTCGCTGGCACCGTGCTCAGGCTGCGCAGCGATTTAGAAATGCGCCCACGTTGCTGGAGTGTTTTTATTTTTGAACAGGTTATTTTCATCTGTCCTGGAATAGCACGGTGGAGACACACCTGATGCATGGTTTTGCTTCCGTAGGACGTGTGGGTAGAAGGGACATGGAGCAGAGGCAAGTGCTGTTACTTATTTTGTGTTTATACAACTTGGGCAGTTTCCACTTTGGAGACCACCCCAACAAGGTTAACGTAGCTCATGCCTGTCCCAGCCACAGACAAGGCCACTGTTCCTTCAGCTGAGCGCCACTTTTTGTTGGCTTGCTCTTGCTTCCAAGCCCCGATCTCCCCTGATGGTGTCTGTTTAAGTCCTGGGATCCGGCACAACCTGGATCGAGGACGCGGAGTCAGGCACTCCCCGGGGCCCAGGACTCCGCTCACTCTCAGTCCTCCCGTCTTTCTTTTCAGTGTTCTCGTGAAACACATGGCGTGTGCAGAGATCATATAGAACATATACGTACAGCTCAAAGCGTGCAGCAAGTTCTGTGTCTCAGTCCTGGCGTAAGAAGCAGAACAACCTCTGTCAGACAGAGCCCTGCTCTAGGTGTGGAGCAGCCCTTCCCTCATTTTTCTTTCCAGGTTCATCATGGATGTGCATCTTTAATCATTGCTCAGCTTTTCCCATTTTTATGTTTTCTATACATAGACCCACGCTTCTGTGGCTTCTTTTTGTTTTTATTTTAACATTATCCTTTTGACCTTCGTCCCTGGGAATGCAGCGTGTTCCTTTTCGCTGCTGTGGTGCTGCCGTGCAGAGGGAGTGAGTCACGGTTTAGTGACCTGACGTGTGAGGGGTTCCAGTTTTGCCCTCACGTGGTGGGTGCTGCAGAGTGGGTGTGGCCCAGCCCCGCCTCAGGAGGCTTGTTCTCAGTAGTCTCCGTGGTGTAGTTCAGTGTGCACAAATTACAGACACAGGACAGATAAAGGAGCAGGTAGTTAGCAACCCCAGCCAGACCCTCATGCCCGGTTCCAGCCACTCCCTCACTTCACTTCGCTGTGTTTTTCTTTTTCTTTTTCTTTTTTTTTTAAGACAGTCTTTCTTTGTTGTCCAGGCTGGAGTGCAGTGGTGCGATTTCGGCTCACTGCAGCCTCTGCCTCCTGGGTTCAAGCAATTCTCCTGCCTCAGCCTCTCGAGTAGCTGGGATTATAGGTGTGTACCACCATGCCCAGCTAATTTTTGTATTTTTAGTAACGACGGGGTTTCACCATGTTGGCTGGGTTGGTCTCAAATTCCTGACTTCACGATCCCCCCGCCTTGGCCTCCCAATCCCAAAGTTCTGGGATTACAGACTTGAGCCACCGTGGCCAGCCTTCAGTTCCCTGTTTTTTTCTTTCTTTCTTTTTTTTTTTTTTTGAGACAGAGTCTCGCTCGGTCACCCGGGCTGGAGTGCAGTGGCGCGATTTCAGCTCACTGCAACCGCCGTCTCCTGGGTTCAAGCCATTCTCTTGCCTCAGCCTCCTGAGTAGCTGGGTTTACAGGTGTCCACCACCACGCCCAGCTAATATTTTTTTGTTTTTATAGAGACTGGGTTCCGCCATGTTGGCCAGGCTGGTCCTGAACTCCTGACCTCAGGTGATCTGCCTGCCTCGGCCTACCAAAGTGCTGGGATTACAGGCGTGAGCCGCTGCGCCCGGCCTACTTCCCTGTTTTTAAGCCTCACATAACGGAATCACATACGTGTACTCTTTTGTGCCTGGCTTCCATTATACATTATCTTTGTGAGAGTCGTGTGTTGTGCATAGCTGAGATTTGTCGATTTCTCTTAATTACTCTGTTAAAGTTTTCCATTGTATAAAAATACCACTTTTTAAAATACGCTTGGCTGTACCCGACATGGGATAGTTTCCAGCATGGGGGTGTTGACTCTTGCCGATGTGGACGTTTCTACCCGTGCGTAACGTCTGGTGATCCCCTGGGCACCCTTGTGCTAGGGACGCCCAGGTGTGACATAGGGTCAGTTCCCGGGGCTGCCACCCCCGCCAGTTACTGTGCCAGGTGGCATTCCTCCTGGGGTGTGGACGGTGCTGGTCCCTCCAGGCCCTCACCTCCGGCCTTTGGTCTTCTCCCTGGTGGGGGCCTGTACTCCAAAGCTGTTGTTTTGACTTCCCTGAGGCTCGGTGAAGCTGAGCCCCCTTTTTAAATACTCACTGGCCAGTTGGATACCGACTCCTGAGGGCACCTGGACAGGCTTTCTGTTCCTGTCCCCTTTGGGCTTTTATTTTTATTTTGTTTTAATTTTATTATTATTTTTTGAGATGGAGCCTCGCTCCGTTTCCCAGGCTGGAGTGCAATGGCTTGATCTAGACTCACTGTCACCTCTGTCTCCTGGGTTCAAGCAATTCTCCTGCCTCAGCCTCGTGAGTAGCTGGGACTACAGGCACGTGCCACCACGCCCAGCTAAGTTTTGTATTTTTAGTAGAGACGGGGTCTCACCGTGTTGGTTAGGCTGGTCTCGAACTCCTGACCTCGTGATCCGCCTGCCTTAGCCTCCAGAAGTGTTGGGATTACAGGCGTGAGCCACTGCGTCTGGCCTGGGCCTTTAAATACTGTTTGCCTTTTTCTTACTGAGTTGTAGTTCTTTACTCTGGATATGAAAGTCTTTTGTTGACGAAACGTGTTTAGTTATCTTCTCGTAGTCTGTGGTTTGCGTTTTCACTCTCAGAATTTCGCTGTTGATGATGTTCGTGCAGTCCAGCTCACCGATTTTTGCTGATGCTGGTGCTTTTGAGCTATGATTAAACAATCTTTGTCTCCCAAAGTTGTGAAGATACTCAGTGGTTTCCTTCTAAACTTTATTGTTTACCTTTTACATGTTGCTGCTTTTGTTCTGTGAAACATGCTGTTGATCTGGCAGCCTCTATCACTCGTGTGGCGATGCCACGGCCGTAGCCCGGGGACCCCTTCTGGCCGTCCCCTTCAGGGCTTTCTGGTGTGTTCCATGGGCTCTTTTTTTAATTTGTTTACGATTCCATGTTGTTGTCCTTGCCTCCTCCTTCCAGTGTTTCCCTGTGTCCAGGTGAAACGCAGCATTAGTGTATCTCGGCGTTAGCGTGTCTTGGCGTCAGCGTGTCTCGGCGTCAGCGTATCTCCTGAACCGTGAATGCCATGTCTTCCACCATTTACCCTGATGGCCTTTAATTTCTCTCAGCAAGTTTGATGGATTTTAGGGTAGATGTCTTACATGTCATTAGACTTTCTGCCCTATGTATTTGAATGTTAGATGCAGTTTTAATATTGTCTTCTTGGACTTTCATCATCTGTGTGTGTGTTCCTGGCCTGTGGATGTACCAGTGGGTCCTTCACATTGACCCTGCACCTGACGACCTCGCTCTGATGCTGATGTTTGACATGCACACTCATACTTTCTGAGAGATGCCGGCCACACTTCCCTGCCAGCGCCGTGCCTCTCCTCTCCCCTGGCCACGCTTCCCTGCCAGCCCCACGCCTCTCCTCTCCCCTGGCCACGCTTCCCTGCCAGCCCCACGCCTCTCCTCTCCCCTGGCCACGCTTCCCTGCCAGCTCCACGCCTCTCCTCTCCCCTGGCCATGCTTCCCTGCCAGCCCCACGCCTCTCCTCTCCCCTGGCCACACTCCCTCTCCAGCCCTGCGCCGCTCCTCTCCCCTCCCCCTAGCCATGCTCCCTCTCCAGCCCCGCACCTCTGCTCTCCCCTGGCCACGCTTTCCCGCCAGCCCCATGCCTCTCCTCTCCTCCAGCCGCGCGTCTCTCCTCTCCCCTGGCCAGGCTTGCCTGCCAGCTCTGTGCCTCTCCTCTCCTCCAGCCCCATGCCTCGCCTCTCCTCCAGCCCCACACCTCTCCTCTCCCCTGGCCACGCTCCCTCTCCAGCCCTGCACTGCTCCTCTCCCCTGGCCATGCTCCCTCTCCAGCCCAGCACCTCTCCTCTCCCCTGGCTACGATTTCCTGCCAGCCCTGCGTCTCTCCTCTTCTCCAACCCCACACCTCTCCTCTCTCCTGGCCACGCTCCCTCTCCGGCCCCGCGCCTCTCCTCTCTCCTGGCCACGCTCCCTCTCCGGCCCCACACCTCTCCTCTCCCCTGGCCACGCTCCCTCTCCGGCCCCGCGCCTCTCCTCTCCCCCGGCCACGCTCCCTCTCCGGCCCCGCGCCTCTCCTCTCCCCCGGCCACGCTCCCTCTCCGGCCCCGCGCCTCTCCTCTCCCCCCCGCCCCTCCCCCCGGCCCCCCCCCCCCCCCCCCCCCCCCCCCCCCCCCCCCCCCCCCCCCCCCCCCCCCCCCCCCCCCCCCCCCCCCCCCCCCCCCCCCTCTCCCCCCGCCCCTCCCCTCCCCCCCCGCGCCTCTCCTCTCCCCCGGCCACGCTCCCTCTCCGGCCCCGCGCCTCTCCTCTCCCCCGGCCACGCTCCCTCTCCGGCCCCGCGCCTCTCCTCTCCCCCGGCCACGCTCCCTTTCCAGCCCCATGCCTCTCCTCTCCCTTGGCCACGTTCCCTCTCCAGCCCCGCGGCTCTCCTCTCCCCTGGCCACGCTCCCTCTCCAGCCCTGCGCCTCTCCTCTCCTCTGCCCACGCTCCCTCTCCAGCCCTGCGCCTCTCCATGCACTTTCCTCCAGGTGCAGTGTCATGGAGGAATGATGACAGTAGGCACCTCGTCTCCTTCAGGCTGTGGCGGCCGCTCCGGTAGTCCATCAGTCAGCGCGGTGTGTGCTGGATGTTCTGTGTGATACTCTTTACTGAATTAATGAAATCCTCTTCTACTTGTGCTTTTCTAAGAGTCTTCATCACGAAGGCCTACCCCATACATTGTGATGTGGGTTGTTTTTGTTACTGTTCAGTTCAAAATACTTTCTGACATTCTCTCTGGACTTAGAAAGCCTGGCCTTCGAGCAGGATTTAGCACGTTCAGAGCATATAATACAGGTGAATTGGCAAGTTGAAAAGGGATTGAAAAGGAGAAACCCAGACTCGGTTCACTTACTTGATCATTAATTTTTCATTCCCCAAGTTCTACTTCTTTTTTTTTTTTTTGGGAGGCGGGGGGAATGGAGTCTGGTTCTGTTGTCCAGGCTGGAGTGCAGTGGCGTGATATCGGCTCACTGCAACCTCTGCCTCCCAGGTGCAAGCAATTCTCCCACCTCAGCCTCTGAGTAG